GCGGTTCAGGGGAGGCCACCGCCTGCTGCCTCGGGACAGGCAGGGGTGCTGCGCCCCAGCGCGTGGCTGCCCGACGCTGCCCGCTCCCCACAGCAAAGCTGCCCCTTTCCTGGGCTCGCTGAGCCTGCACTGCACCGAGCAGCAAGCGGAGGTGCTGGCTGCCCCCCTGACCTCCAGTGCTGCCTTTGGCCCCGCCGGCACCTGGGGACCTGAAATCTTCACGGAGGTTGGGATGCTGGCAGGTGAGGGCTGTGATGGTGCCGTGCCGTGCGGTCGCTGCTGCCTGCCCTGCCTGTGCCTGGGGGCGGTGTCCTGACCCCACCCTCTGTGCCCCAGCTGGGCTCCCCGACATTGTCCTCTCTGCACTGGTCCCCGAGCAGATCTGGGCGCTCACACCGCGGGCCATCGCTGCTGTCCCAGCACCCAAGTTCGCAGTGAGTCCCTGGGATCCCCCACTGGCATGCTCGTCCGGTGCACGTGTGGCACCATCCCCCTGCACGCAGGGGAGGGGGCATCACCAGCTGGGCCAGCATGGTGGGAGCCCCCTGCACCGGACACTGAGGGACAGAGGAGGGACGTGTCTTGGCTGTGCTGGGCAGCGGGCACAGGGCCTCGCCATGGCTGGCTGCCCTCTCCCCGCAGGTGGTGTTTGGCCCAGCTCAGCTGCGCACCCTCTCCAGTGCCCAGGCCACGGCTGTCACCCTGGGGCAGCGCCGGTGGCTCGGTAGCGCCCAGCGCCAGGCCCTGGCCAGTGCCCAGTGCGAGGGAGAGGCTGCCCAGGACGGCCAAGGTGAGAGCAGCCAGGTGCCTTCTGTCCCCACGCAATGCCTAGCCTACCCGCCGCAGGCGGCTCCTCTGCCCATTTGCCCCCTGTCCCCGCTCTGCTCCTCCGGGCTCAGCACGGGAACCCCACGGCACTGGGAGGGCTCAGGTCATGCGGGTTTGTCCCCGTGGGGAGGCTGGTCCCACTGCCTGCCCAGCTCATGTCCCATCGCACGTCTGCCCAGACGAGACCTCCCTGATGCCAACCCCTGCCCTAAACCCAGGTCCTGAACAGCTGCTCTGGGGGCAGCAGCAAACTGTTCTGTCTGTGCCCAGAGCAGTGCATGCGTGTGCACGTGTGCGTGTGAGGGCTGCCAGGGACGTAAGCCCCTCTGCAGCGCGCCGGGGCTGGCACACTCAGCTCTGACAGTGCTTTCTCTCCCGCAGGCAGGAGCGGGGCCAGGCCCCAGTCTGGCTTCACCTTGGCGCTCCTCCTCTGCCTGCCCCGCTGCTTTCTGTGAGCATCCCGGTAATAAACCTGTGATGGGCCCCCAGCTCTGCTCCCTGCCTGCCTGTAGCACCCTTCCCTGCCCGGCCCCGATGGTCCCCGCAGCTCCTGGTCCCCTGCAGTGAGCAGCCCCCAGCCCTGGCTCCCTGCCCACTCAGAGGCCCTTGTGGCCCCCCCCCCCAGGGCAGCCCCAGTGTCCCTCCCAGGGCCGTTCCCCAGCGCAGCAGCGGCTCAGGGAGTTCCCAGGTAGGGCTGCGCAGGGCAGGCGTGGGAAACCCAGACCCTGGTGGGTGCCTCTGCAGGGGCACGGGGCGCTGGGGAGAGCGGTGGGGCAGCGGGAGCTGGGGTGAGGAGGAGAC